TGATCTCTCTATTTATTTCTCTTTATTCATCTGATCAGTCGTGTGATATTGTGTTCTCCTTTAATTGAAATACTTTAATTATTTCTCTGTGTTTATTAAGTGTTTTACTAATTATCATTATTTGTTCTTTAATTTAGTAGTACATTTGATTGTAATGAATATTTCAAATTCACATGCATATCCTCCTTCAATTGTAATAATATTTGGTTTGATTCTAATTGAATATTTTTCATTTTCTTCTTTACTACTTATTTGTATTTTCTTTTTTTCTTTCTTCTCATTTCCAATACATATTAATTCTCTGATTTCTTTATTTACTTCAATTTCTTCTCCTTCTCCTATTTCTATTTCTTTTTTATTTGTTATTATTCCATCTCCAAGTGATATGAATTTGATATTTGATTGTGAAATTTTAAATATTGTTGTTGTTTTCTCTTGTTCTTTCTTTTCTTTGAGTTTTATAATGTAATTAATCATTATTATTATAATTATAATTATTATAATGATGATAATAAGTATAATGATGATAATAATCATTATCATCCACCATACTATTTCTTTATTACATTTTGTTCCTTCTTCATTGATTCCATACCAAAATGAACATTTTGAACATTTATTATTTTTTGTTTCTTTACATTTATTAATATTTGAATAATGAATACATTCTTTATTTATTATTATATATTCATCTTCACATTTATTACATTCTTTCTCATTTAAACATGTTATACATTGTTTTCCACATTTTGAACATTCTTTATTTATTAAATAATATCCTGTTAAACATTCTCTACATCCATATTCTTTATCTATTTCTCCTTTACATCATTTGATTATTGTTGTTAATTTATTTAATAGAATATTAATATTCTATGTTAACAGAATTAAATGAATAAAATAATAAATAATGATGTTTTTAATAATGAATTGTTGTGTTATTTTATTGAATATGTTATTTTAATAAATGTAATCATATTAATGAATTGTATTAATTATTGTTAA